GTAAATCTGTTTCTTTATATATATATATATATATATATATATATATATATATATATATATATATATGTATGCCAATCCGTTTCTTTCTTTTTGTCTATGTCAATATCTATGTATCTATCTATGCCAATCACTTTCTATCTGTGTATCTATATATGTAAATCTGTTTCTTTATATATATATATATATATATATATATATATATATATATATATATATATATGCCAATCCTTTTCTATCTATCTATCTATCTATCTATCTATCTATGCTAATCTATTTCTTTTTATCTATTTATTTATCTATCTACCAATTTTACCTTTTCACCCCCCAATAAAGATTTAATTAGTGAGATTGGTGTAAGGACAAGAGCTAGTAAGCACCTACATTACTCACCATTTTATTTTCTGCAGTTGTTCAACCATTTACAAACTCTGGCCAACATATATATATTCGATTGTTATATAAATTCCTTCGTGTTTTTTTTATAATTTATTTTAATACTTGTTATTTATTAGTAGTTCTGACGAATCTCATAATAATATTCCCCTTTAATGTTAATGGCCTCCTGCCCAAGGTCCACCATTATTTGAATGGTTCGATGGTAGAAATCACTTTGTTTTTCGCTCGAAAATTAATGCAAGCCGTGTTTTAAGTTCCACCACGTTGTTGAAGAAATCACCCATTAAATTGTAAAAAAGCAAACATAAAAGGCAGTAAACGGAAGTGGTTTAAGGAGGAGAATATGTTGAGTGTGTCAGTTCTTTCCAACCGAGCTCTTTAATTTTAGATATTTTCATCTGAATTGCATCTTTGAGGCTATTCATTTGTACAACATACTGCTTAGCATTGACCCTTTTGTTAAACTTACTCATTGCATGAAGCTGAGCGACAGTAACAGCATATTAAACTGACTTCATAAAGATCTTTGTAAGACATTGCAGCCAAGAATTTGGCTTTTTTTTTTTTGTAGTGAGTTCATGTACGTCTGCTGGATTTCGATTTTAGCCGAAACCAAGTAGATTATAGGATACAAATCCTATAATCATATAATCCTATATATAATTCTATATATATAATCCTATATCATTCCAACAAATGACTAAACAACACAAAGTAGATTTGCACACCCGCAAAATCGGATCAAAACCACTAAAAACAGATTTCGCAATAAGGTGTGAAATTAATTTTCTGACCAATGAAAGGAGGCGATTTGCTAAACTAAAAAAAAGATAACGAGCCATTGTGAAAAAAAAGTCAACAATAAATAGAGAGTTTCAAGTCAATCACCAGTCAGAAGGACGCAGAGATCATAGAGGACAGAAGACTGACCGTCAATTCCATCACTGACTCAACCCGACACTAAGAGCCGAAAGTGGAGTAGGAAAGGAAAACAACAACAAATTTACAAGTGACTCCAAAACAATTCAACCCGATAAGTACATTTTCCTCTTGTCTATTATTTCTCACCCACACTCTCCTTTTCAACTTAAATTGATCGCCCCTTTTTTCTTTACACCTATACAAAAACAAAAGAAACAGACATTACTCTGCTACTCTGTTGAAAGACAGCGAACACAGACATTTTTGTCAAAATCACATTTTGCTGAAACGAACTAAAGCATTAATCTTTTTACCCTATTCACAAGATAATAAATATACAATGTTCTATTTTCTACAAACGTTCCTTATCGTGTTGTTTCTTCTTGAAATTTGCGTTGTATTTTGTGGGGGTATCCCGTATTAAATTCTCCTTTTAATCCGGGTACGCTGAACCCCACAAGATCTTTTTTTTCTCTCTATTCCTTCGTATGTCGCATTTTGCCACTAATATTTTTGCGATGATTCGGGATATTGTATATGAATCTCTTGCCGATTATAACAGCTCACTTATCTCACAAACGGATTGACTTCTCTCATTCAAGCCTGAATAAACCTACTATAATCGGCGAAATACGTAACTGAGTAAACTTTCCCACTTTACCGTATTTCCAATTTAATTCGGTATCATTATAAACCCAAATATCACGCATCAAGACCTAAAGATAATTTTTCAGAATAATGAACATTTCTGGAGGAATAACTTGTAATATATTCCGCAATGCAATACTTGTAAAACATTCTGCTTCTCGTTATTGTTTTTAATAATTAAATAAGTCCATGGTCGTATATTTAAAGTGATTATTTGAAAAAAAAATAGTTTAAATAACAGAGGCAGCGAATAGAAACGTCGAGAAGAACTGGCGCTTCCTTTGTCAAATTTTGAGTAATCTTATCGGTTTGTTGTGAAATCTTGACTTAACCAATTCCAAGTTGCGTTGGAAAAGAAATACTGGGATATCATTCTGATATTTTGATGAAATATCATAATTAAATTATCAGCAACAAAAGGCTGGTTGGTCTTTTTAGTAATGTGAATTGCTTAAAAGCTATGAAGCATTTTTTTTTCGCGGGGTTACTTGAAGCGATTCTTTGAAGAAAAAAAAATAGGCTTCATCGTCGCAATCCGAGGATTCATTCACAGCTAAAATAAAACCTAAATTTAAAAAAATATATCATCAAGCGAAGAGGGAAATGATGAAAGATGACGAATGTAAGGAACAGAAAAAGTGAGCAGCAGGATGATGATGATGATGATGATGATAAAAGAAGAAGAAAAAAAGAACAATAAAAGGAAGAAAAAGTCGATGGGAAAGAAAGGAAGACAATTAGAATTTAAAAAAGCTAGAGAAAGAAAAATAAAAAAAAATATCATTAGAATTATCGAGATCAGAATGGAAATAGGTTTGTTTTTTTTTTCTTGAGATGAAAAATTACGATATGCCTTGCTTTTCCGATCAACATGCTCATTTTATTTATTATAGTCCCAACATTTCGGCCGATGTCCCCTCCAGCCTTCTGCACGTTTCTTTCAACCCACTCGGCAACCTAATCATAGAAATCTCTCATAGAGCGGTTATATATCAAGTTAAAACGAAACTGACAACAGCAAATATTTCTGCGAGCAATTATACGGGGATCTTTTAGAAGAGGAATTTTCGTTATTAAATGCATTATTATTCAGACTATCACGTTCCTCTTGGATTTTATGTTTACATCGTCTTGGCAGATGTACTCTGCGTCGTTCTTCAGCAGCCTTAGCATAGAATTTTCTGAAGTGGCCAGATTTTTCCGTTAAAAGCAAACATTAAAACAATAGCAAACATTTATTTGAATAATTATGCATTAATTATTGATATGTGGAATTACTCTTATTATACTCTTCGATACCAAGTTCATCATCCTCATTTATATGTGGACAATGTTTCGGTCGATGTAGATTTCGGCCTTCCTCGGTTTTATGTCTTCAAATTCAGTAAACTTCTTGGAATTTCGAACCGTAAGTTTCATTGAGTTTCTGACATGTGCTAGAAGACACTGACTGCATCTACAGCGTAGGGCTAAGACGCCACTCCCAGAATATATCAAGTAAATATTTGCATACATGAACATAAACGATGAATATTTACCTACTGACGAACCAGCTGCTCTGTAGAATAATTAGAAATTCCTAATTTTACCGATTTCTTTAACAAGCTACTGTAATCTTTATAAAGGTTAACAAGTGATTCCTTCCATCGTTAATGAAACTTTTATTCAGTCCTTTTGTAGGGATAAAAATAGATTATCTCTCTTTGGCAGGGATAAGTTATATGGGCCATGTGACGGACTGCGTAGTGATGTCACTCTATACAGTGACTAAAGCGGCAGTCAAATTAAGTTTGTTTTACAGCAGACAAAGGGAAGGTTGCTTTCTTTAGCTACCACCCCCATAGCTCGAGCGGTGGCTAAATCTCCCTCCTCAGCTGCATATAAGTCTATGCTGCTGTTTTCATCTGAGAATATATATTTCCCAGATATAAAATAAAACCCCTGGCTGATCGACCCCAAAATATAAAGTAGGCTACCAGTGGCTCTAAAATTAGGCCTACCAATAAATAAAGTTAGACTGACGATAACCATAAAATATATAAAGTACCGTAAATGTGATTTACCGTAATGCTTTATATTTCCGTGATATCTCAGTGTTAAGGTTTTAATCATGAATGAAACACGGTAAATTTCAAGTAACCATTAAAATAATGTAAAACCATAATTGCTATGCAATTATGGTTTTACATTAAGTGCATATTCAATATATTGACATTGTGTGTCATTAAACTGTCATTATTTTCAAGAAATTGTGAATATGACATGAATAGCATACCTAGTTGTCTGAATGTCCACCTGAATTAAACGGAGCTTCGTTTAGTGTTTACACTTAGGGTAACAGTTGTTGGACGAGACTATGCTGTAGCGTTAGTAGAATACTGTAATTACTAAAGTTACTATATTATTATTTTACTTTAGTTTTTGACTTAATATGCCAAATATGTTCACTAAAACTAGTTTTAGTGGGATACACGCGTGACAGCGTAATTGGGGTACAGTAACGCTGTAGAGTAATTATTGTCTCATTTGTTTGCAACACGGTGATAATGGTTTACATTTTATAGCCGTCATATAAGTTGGCTACTTGTCTTGGAAAAATATTTCTAGGCTTGAAAAGTCGACATGTACGCCGCAAATTACGGAATACACACACACACATACACACACACACACACACAGATATATATATATATATATATATATATATATATATATATATATATATATATATATACAGACATGACAGAATTGAATAGACACTCACAGAAACAGTTTATTTTATTAAACAAGTAATTTATACAAACGAAGTAATTACAAATGGTCATAAATTTAACAACTAATATTTTGTTGACATCCCTTTTGCTTTTTTTTAATGAAAGGATCCTTCTAGGCATGCTAGCGATGAGTTCAGGAATATCATCTTGGATTTCTTGCCATGTTTGACGCAATAATCCTAAAAGTTCGGGCTTAGGAGATGGCTTCCTGTTCTTTTTGCGGAGTTTTCGATCGAGTTTTCAATAGGGTAATTATCCGGG